GTCATCGTCAGGATTTTTTCCAAGGCCTTTTAATTATATTTGCAATTGTGTATCATAAAAAAAAAAGAATATATAAGATGAAGGGAGATGTGACGTCCTCATTCATGTGTCACGCCACTAATGTAACTTGACCTTTCCCGTTTCCTTTCTTTTTGTATCCCTCGAGACTGTTTAGACAACTATACACATACTCAGGCAAAAAGTCAGAGTTGAGTGTTGAGGTTGGTTCTTTAAGGCTTGGCTAAACCAGGAATCATGTTTCCAGAAAAATATTTATCCTTCGCATGTTTCCCCAATGTTTCCCAGTTTAGCCACATGTAAAACATTGCTGCGTGCAATAAATTTTGCAAAATTTGCTTCCAAGACGCAAAAAATATATCTGCTGTGCGGCATAAATATTGTATGCTTCAAAACGCATGTAAAAAATGTTTCCCGATGTTTCCTGGCAGTTTTGCTACTTTGGAAACATTTTTTGGAAACATGTTCCCTCGTTTAGTCAGAGCCCTATTCCAAGGATCTATATCTAATTAAGCTTCGAAAATTAGCACCAAAGAGTTGCAATAATCTAAACAAGCATTAGAGGTTGAAAGGAAATACCTAAACAACAAAGTTCTAGCAAAAGAAATTAATAATAAAAATAAAAATAAAAATATTAATAATAATAACTAAATTCTAGTCTGCAAACAAATTAAAATTAATCATTATTGCCGAATAATACTCTGGTGGTCCAATTCCATTTGAGGGAAACTGAGGGAAACGTAAACAATCAATTGATCCTACTGGGGCTCAGTGTGTTCCATTTGTTAAAGCCTGATTTGTAGCTTTTTGTGAACACAAAATATTAAAAAGGGATAAACTTTCTTGTGACCTCCAAGTGGTACATTGGGGTATCCATGTTCTCTGCACTTTGCACAGGATCTAACCGAGGGAGTATGATTAAGAGACATGATTAAAGTGTAGACAGGAAACGAAACCGATCCTCAGATTGAGCGCAGATCATTTTACAATAATTGCAATACAAAAACCTGGAAATTATATTGAATGTATCAAATTTAGGGAATTTTTAACAAATTACCTGCCAGAAATCGGTTAAGATGGAAACATCAAAGCTCGTGGACTAGACTCATTGTATTAAAAATGTTCCCAGAAAATTTTAGAAGTCATCAAGTTTTGCGATTTTAGCTTTAACTGTTC